CTAGAGCTTTCTTTTGGTGGTATTTAATCATCACTGGGTTTTTTTTTTTTGCTAAATTAACAAAAAAAGACCAAAAATTTTGAAAAAAAAAACGTTTTTCTTTGTTTCTGTTATAAAAGTTTACAAATAAATAATTGTTCTTCATAAATTTAGGCCGAGATGTAATCTGCTACATGTCTTTGGTGAAAATAACCCAAATTAGGATGTATTATTTAGTTTGTAGGAAAGTTATAGAGTTCACAAACTATGGTATAGATCTGAAAATTGATCAATCCTGAAGTACTGACAGCCAATCTAATTTCTTGAGGTCCAAGAATGTCAGAATAGTACAAATATCCCCAAATTACCCCTTTTTGCAGAGTAGACAGTCCAACGTACTTTATAAGAGGAATGGCAAGTTTTTTGAAGTTCTATTTTTTTGTCATAATTTTTTGGAAAATGAAAAAATAAAAACAAATGTAAAAAAATTATTTTCACTATTTTTTTTTTTACATACTGTCACCAGTGCAGTACAGCGTCATCATATAACTGGCATGGCGGTGAACAGGGACACTGACTGGTGACAGTATGAAAAAAAAATAAAAATATATATATATAAAAATATTTTTTTTTTTTTATTATTTTTAATTTTTTCTTACATTTTTTACATTTTTTTTAAGATTTTTTTTTTTACGAGGTACATGGCCGGTGATTTGGGCACAGATCGCGCAGCTGTGTGGCTCTGCAACCGCGCAAACTGTGCATGTGCGGGAGGACGCCAAATGGCGTACACCCCGGAAAGCTAGAGCATTTTTTGCGGCCGCCAAACGACTATAGGCCGGGCGGCTAATGGTTAAAAGCAATATATTTTTTTTTCTTAGTTTTGGACAGAAGTAAGGTGACATTCTAAAAGTTAGAGTTGACATCAGAGCAAGAGGTAAGGGGAAATCTTCCAATGGGTACAGATGTTCTGGTGACAACTGTCTAGAGCTCCTTTCACTTTGGATAGATTTCTTCTCACAGCCTGTTGCATCTCCAAAGTGAAAGGAAATCTGCCAAGTGGGACCAAGAAAAAAAAACCTACTATGGGTTTTAACCCTTTGCTATTCTATAAAAAAACTAAAGAAAAATTTAAAAAAGTTTGGATATACATAATTTAATGAAAATTGTGGAGGTAAAGATTTTGAAAATAACTTTTACAGTTATCTTAACATGGTAAAGCTTTCTTGATATTTTAGTGACTGGTTTAGAACTATTTATTAACTTGCCAACCTTTCACAGTACTTTTACTGCGGGAGGCATGGGCAAGCCGGATCACATATATTTCCATGATCCTGCTGCTCCAGGTTAGGGGCGTGCAGTGTACCTGGACACCTGTACCATACCTGTAGCTGGAAACAATAAAATGCGGATTCTGGTACTTGGGGCCCGGTGATCATGTGATTGCTATGCAATCACATGATTACAGTGTCAACAAAGCTGTTATGAATTCATTCATAGCAGCTGTGTTTCCTTTGCTGTAATTGGCCCACAGCTATCACATGATACCTTTGCCAATCTCAGCACCCTGTACCATGTGATTAGCTGTAGTCAATCACAGATCACTAGTGTTTACAGCTGTCATGAATGTAACCCCATTCAGCATGTTACTATGGTGACAACGAACTACTCTGATAAAAGTTTGTAACGAAAATAGTAAAAAATTAAAAAAGTTTAAAAAATGTAATAAAAAAAATTGTTTTCTTCTTTTACCATGCTGTCACCAGTCTTGGCTGGTGTTATCAGTAATGACTGATCAGTCATATGATAATGCTGTACTGTACCTGGGTCAATCTCAGTACCCTGTACCATGTGATTAGCTGTAGTCAATCACAAATCACTAGTGATCATAGCTGTCATGAATGTAACCCCATTTATGACAGTTGAAAAGTTTGCTGTTACAATGATCTTCATTGTAACAGCAAACAGAGATGAAAAGAAAACTCTGATCACCCCCTCAGAGTAGTACAGTGTTACTATAGTGACACTGAACTACTCTGATGAAAGTATGTAAAACAATAGTACAAAATTAATAAAAATTGTAACATGACTGATTGGTCATATGATGATGTTGTACTGCACTGGTGACAGTATATAAAAAAATTGTGAAAAAAAAAACACATTTTATTAAATTTCTTAATTTCCCAAAAATTGTGACAAAAAAAAATTACAACTTCAAAAACCTCACCATGCCTCTTACTAAATGCCTCAGTCTGTCTGCTTTCCAAAAAGAGGTCATTTGGGGGGTATTTGTACTGTCCTAGCATTTTAGGGCTTCAATAAAATGAGATCAGCCATCAGTACATCAGAACTGATTAATTTTCAAATATATACACCATAGTTTGTAGACACTATAACTTTCACACAAACCAATTAATATACACTTATTGTGTTTTGGTTTTTTTAACCAAAGAAAAAATATAATTTAGTTAGATACAGTATGTTTTATAAAAGAAAGAATATATATAAACATTTTGGGGTTTTTTTTCGTTTATGTCGCAAAAAGTAAAAAGCCAATGGTAATTAAATGCCACCAAAAGAAATCTGTATTTTTGTAAAAAAAAAATAATTTCCATACAGTATTGCAAGACCACACAATTGCCAGTTAAAGTAGTGCAGTGTTGAATAGCAAAAAAATGTCCTGGTCTTAAAAGGGGTAAAACTTTCCAGAGTTCAAGTGGTTAATATTGTTGATATTATTAATATTTATTATTACACTGTTGTGTAATAATAGATTTTGCACTTTCCAGTTTTAGCAAATACGGTAACCCCCATGACATTTATAACTGGAGATTATGAATGTCAGTGCATTACACTACACATTGTATACAGCTATTATATCAGAATATTTACAGAAAAAATCATATAATCTATTAGGGATTGCATAGACAAGTTTATAATGCAACATTTTTATATTAAATTATTTGCTACAAGCATACTGGCAAACAATCTGCTTCTGAACAATCATTACTACATGATAAACAAACATTAGAGAACTAATTTCAGATGCTGCCACTAAAATTGTAGATGCTAACCAGCTAAAAGTCAAAGGATACACATTTGGCTTTATAGCTATTGTATGTATTTGAGTGAGGCTCTTATATTGTACATTTCCTCAAGGGTAATCTCAGATTCCACCCTTAGAAAACTGCAACCAACATGTTTGGCTTTCAGGAAGACAAAAGGTAAGTTTTCAGTGGAATAGGTAGAGCAATTGAAAACAACATACTGAAAATCATAGGATGTCCTTCATATCATGGCCATTACTGCTATGTACTGATTCATGGTAACAATGGTGGCCAACTGCCATCTGTTGAATTCTCAGTTTGAGGCAATAGTATATAAAAGGTAAATGAAAAAGCATGCTAAGTCAGAGTTTCCTCGGCTAATGAACAGTTACATCCAGGCTAAGCACAATTTTTAATTAAAGCTTTGATCCAAACTCAATTTAAAAGAAGCACCAGCTCAGACAAAATTCCAGGAGTCCTAATAATTATAATCTAGAAAATTCTATATTTTTTAACACTAAAGATTTAACATGCAATATATATACTACACAACATTTGCTTTACAATAAACCTACTGTATATATGTTTTGTATAAAGTGGACAGAGTGACAACTTCTCTAGGTTTCATTATGTGTGTGTCCCCACAGGGAACTCTTCCCTCACTTCCTCCAAAATTACAAAATATACATTAATAAAAAATAATTGCATACTTCGGACTGAAAAAAAGTCCATCAAGCCCAACCTAAGGCCAAAAAACTCCTTGCATCTTAAGACAACTGTAAAGATTCAGCTTTTGTCAGAATTCAAATTTCACAGTAATAGAATTATGGACTTATATTGCCAAAAGTATAGGGCCAGTGTGAGATGGGGAAACAGCTCTCATTGTTTGAACACTGTTTGTGTGCAGTAAATTATTGTGTGGAGTAAATTAAATGTTCTGGAGTGACATTCTGTAGTTTAGCCACAAGATGCCACTGTTTTCCTAACACAGCCTCAGACTGCATAGATATTTGTATATTCATGAAGAGGTGGGGTTTTTCACACAGAGGTTAGAGAACAGGAAGGAGAGAGACAGCAGCCATGTTTTGGAAGATGGTGAATGCAGGAGCCGTGTGAGCAGAGAATCTGATGGCATCCAGGTGTGAGAACATCCCTTAGTGACCAGAGCTGCAGCTAAGTGAAGCTGATCATGTCCAATTCCCTGATCCTGTTCAGAGAAAGGAAGATTGCTGCCAGGAATGCTGATGAGAGCAGAGGAACAAAGCAACATACACTGCGATACCGCATGCTTGTTGGAGAGACATTTGTTCTGGTCAGAGTCACCAGCGGATTCAAAGCAGACCTGGGTCGGTAAGATCGTGCACGCACCTCATTTCAGTGTTGGCGCCTAGAGACTGAGTCCAGGCCTATAGTTAGTTAGGGTCTTTCTTTGTGTCAGGCCACAAGTGTTATTACTGATCATTGGAAGGACTCCATAACTTAAAGTGACATTTCACATTGGAGAGCTGATAACATCCCAGAAACTCAAGCCAGACTGGCGTTTTGCTCAGAAAAAAATCTCAGGCACGTGCTACAGGACCAGTTATGGGAGGGGAAATACTGTAGATTTGTGTAAGATTGTAAGCTGTTGTGCTGCACCGCAGGCTAGCCCATACCATACACCATACACTGATTCCTGCTCTTTTAGGGTAATAACGGGTAAGGTGTGGCAGCTTAGTTGTGCCCGCCAGTAGGTAAATTACTACACCTTCTACCTTCATCCATCAGAAGGCACCGTGCTGTGCAGCACAAGGGTCTCAGCCCAAAGGCTGGGTGTATGTAAATTTATTGTATGTTCCCAGCATTTGTTGTTGTGTTTATTTGCCACATCTAAGTAAAATTCTGTTGTGGCAAAAGCTGGTGTTGGGGTTGCTTTCCTCATTCGTGACTTCACTGTGTCCTGGGGAGCCCTCCCCGGTACACGGCTTACACCAGCCCTCCAAATCATTGGATTCAGGTGTTCCAATCCCCTCCATGGCCACAGGTGTATAAAATCAAAGACCCAGGCATGCAGACTGCTTCTACAAACATTTGTGAAAGAATGGGACTCTCTCAGGAGCTCAGTGAATTCAAGCTTGGTACTGTGATGCGGGGCTTAAAATTCCAGGTCCTGAACTACTATCCAGGCCTTAGGAGTTACTTGCCCCACCCAACCCCTACCCTGCCCCACCCCGAATTCTGCCCCTAAACACACCCTCATAAAATCTCATGAAATAACACTGTTAAATGTTTTCTGCAGAAGAAAGCAATAATAATAAATATTAACAACAAATGTAACAATATTAACAGCTTCCCAACCACCCTATAGCAGATATACTGCTACAGGGCGGCATGGGTCTGCAAAATCACGTATATATACATGATTTTGCATTTCTGGGTAGGGGGCACGTGCGAGGCTGTACCCGCGCCACCATTTGCCGCCGATGCTGTCAATCACCAGGTCTTGACTGGTGATTACTTGCCGGCACCCAGTGATTGGCGAGGATATGCGACAGGGAGAACTGTTTGTAGACAAAACAGTTCTCCTCCTTGTCAACTCATGCACACTGCTTTGCATGGCTGTGCACATCACAGCCATGCAAAGCAGTGTGATTACAGTGAAGCACAAACACATGGCCCCATAGTAAAACACATACAGCACAGAGTTAACCCTTTGATCGCCACTCATGTTAACCCCTTCTTGCTCAGTGCTATTAGTACAGTCTCAGTGATTTTTTAGCACTGATCACTGTATTGGTGTCACTGGTGATGTCAGTGACACCAAGTCAGTTCCCCCCAGTGTCAGAATGTCCGCCTCAGTCCCACAATAAGTCACTGATCGCCGCCATTACAAGTAAAAAAAAAGAAAAAAAGTTCCAGTATCTATACCGCCATTTGTAAACGCTATACCTTTCACGTAAAGCAATTAATTTAAACATCCTGGGATTTTTTTTTTTTAGCAAAGACATGTAGCAGAATACATTTTGGCATAAATTTATGATGAATTTTGATTTTTTAAATTGTTTTACTGGACATGTTTAATAGCAAAAAGTCAAAAATATTTTTTTTTCTCGAATTGTTGGATTTTTTTTTTGTTTCATAGTGCAAAAAATAAAAAACACACAGGCAATCAAATATCACCAAAAGAAAGCTCAATTCATGGGGAAAAAAAGAACCACCTCTTGTTTTACTTCTATCCGCTTTCCTGCTTTTTCCGTTAACCACTAGGGGACCGCCCACAGTACATATGCTGTGGCAAGGCGGCCCCTGTGTGCAGGATCACTTTTATAAACGTCATCCTACATTTCGGGGGTAGGGGGCATGCGCGCGCCCTACCCGGGTGCCGATCGCGTCCCCGGAGGTCAATCACTGGGTCCCGGACAGTGATTACCCACTGGAGCCCAGTGATTGCCGACAAACACTGACAGGGAGGATGGCTGCATTGTTTACAATGCAGCTGTCCTCCCTATCATTTTAAGCACACTGATCCAGATGGATGAGCTCAGCCTTCTGGATCAGTGTGCTTACAGTGAAGCACAACCCCCCCACCCCCTAGTGAAATGCTCCCCTCACACAGTTAACCCTTTGATTGCCTTCTAATGTTAACCCCATCCTCCCCAGTGCCATTAGTACAATCTGAGTGCTTTTTTTTGCACTGATCACTGTATTGGTGTCACTGGGGATGTCAGTGACCCCAAGTCAGTACCCCCCAGTGTCAGAATTTCCGCCGCAGTCCCACTATAAGTCGCTGATCACTGCCATAAGTTGCTGATTGCTGCCATGAGTTGCAGATCGCCGCTATTATTAGTATAAAAAAAAATCCAGTATCTATACCGCCATTTGTAAATGCTTTCACGTAAACCAAACGTAACTTTCACATAAAGCAATTAATTTACACATACTGGGATTTTTTTTTAGCAAAGACATGTAGCAGAATACATTTTGGCTTAAATTTATGACTAATTTTGATTTTTTAAATTGTTTTACTGGACATGTTTAATAGCAAAAAGTAAAAAAAAACTAATTTTTCTCAAAATTGTTGGTCTTTTTTTATAGCGCAAAAAATAAAAAAATGCACAGGCGATCAAATATCACCAAAAGAAAGCTCAATTTGTGGGGAAAAAAGAACGCAAATTTAATTTGGGTGCAGCGTTGCATGACCGCACAATTGTCAGTTAAAGTAATGCAGCGCCATAACGCAAAAAAAATGGTCTGGTCAGGAAGGGGGGGGAAATCCTCAGAAGATCAATTGGTTAACATAAAAAAATGTAAACATAAAAAGAAAATAAGTGCTTTATATCAATAGGGAAACAAAATTATGCAGAGAGTGGGACAGCGGTGTGACACAGTGCAGGGAGAGGAGTCCGGAGTGTAGGGAGGGAGGAAGGGAAGAAAAGAAGGAAGGGAAGGAAGGAAGGAAGGAAGGAAGGAAGGAAGGAAGGACGGACGGACGGACTCACATGGATGGTTCACAACCCACTGACTTAGTCAGAAGCATCACAGAGCTGCCAACTACTCTGTATACAATTTACCACTCACACATCCCCCCTCACTGCTTTCTGCTCTGCCCCCCCCCCCCCCCCCCACACACACACACAAACACACACTCTCTGGAGTGGTGGGCTGTGGGGAGGGAGGGAGTGGTTGGCTCAGGCTCTCAGTGGACCACTGACAGGCTGAGCCAGGTGCTGCTCCAGACTCCGGAGTGGATTTTTGTCTTTAAAGTCGGGATCTTTCCCTAGCCTGGACCGGCTGAGTGACGTGAGCCGACAAAAGCTTTAGCTGCACATCACCTTTAAAGCGGAGCTCCACCCAAAAGGGGAAGTTCTGCTTTAAGCCTTTGTCCCCCACTCCTCAAGAAGGATTGGCACCTTTGGGGAGCAGGAGGGGAGCGGGTACCCGAATTTGACAACTAACCACTCCCACGTCTGCTGTGATTGCCTAGTGGAAGTTGTCCCCCCCCCTCTCTCCCTGTAGTCTTCTGGGACATGTGACAGGTCCCAGAAGACTATGGAGACATTCACAAAGTGCAGCGATTCTCGTGTATGCGCAGTGGGCATCCAGATGTAAAGCCGCAAGCTGTCACAGCCGGGTGCCCATACTGAAGATGCCGGCACCAGGAGGAGAAGACAGCCCATGAAACCAGTGGTGGTGAGGGCACTGCTGGACCGAGGGCCAGGTAAGTGGCTGTATTTTAAAAGTCAGAAGCTACAGTTTTTGTAGCTGCTGATTTTTTTTTTTCAGGTGGAACTCCGCTTTAATGAGCAAAGCTAGGCCTAAGTTTACTAGAAACAAAGGGTACAGGTACAGGTTTTACAACAGGGATTAATATAATGCAGAGGATACAGCAGAGTAACCTAAAGAAAGACCCTATCAACATAAAATAAAAAATAAGTAAGGGGAAAATGTCATTAAAATTGTCAGCAATTGACAGATTAAGCCTCTTACCTGTGTTTCAAAACAAAGTGTCTGGGGATTCTCTTTATCAAAAAAAAGAGAAAGGAAGGAAGGTAGGTAGCTCAGACTCATATGGATGGTTCCTGGCTCATTTATTTGGTCAGAAGCATCACAGCTACCAGATGCTCTGTATACAAATTTACCACTCACACATTCCCTTCTGAGAAGTTGCATGAACTGGAGTGTCGGTGGGCAGAGGGGGAGGCAGAGCAGATCAAGCCACTGTGCTCTCCTACTGGTGTGAAGGATGGGGGGAGGGGCTGGCCACTGAGAAGCACACAGGGGGCCCAGAAAGAAAGGGAAATCTGATGTATGGCCAGGGATGATGGCTGAAGCAGTGGGGGCAGTTACAAGCACCAATCTCCCTGTATGGCTTTCAATGAAGCAGCTGGAAGCTGATTCTCCTCCATTCCCATCAGTGGCTTTCAGCTGCTTCATTGAAAGCCATACAGGAAGACTAGTGTTTGTAACTACCCCCACTGCCACCCCAACTACCCACTCCTAGTCCTGGTCCTGCTCTCCACGTTATTTCCACTCGCCGAATGAGAGCAGGTGAGTGGACATTTTGAGGGCTGCCGTGATGGGTTGCCATCTGTGCAATAAGTCCCTTTGTGAAATTTTCTTTGCTACTAAATATTCCACAGTTAACTTTTAGTGGTGTTATAACAAAGCGGAAGCAACTGGGAACAACAGCAACTCAGCCACGAAGTGGCAGGACATGTAAAATGACAGAGGGGTCAGTGCATGCTGAAACGCTCAGTGTGTAGAAGCCACCAACTGCAGAGTCAATAGCTAAAGATCTTCAAACTTCTTGTGGCGTTCAGATTAGCACAACAGTGTGTAGAGAGCTGAATGGATTTCCATGACCGAGCATCTGCATCCAAGCCTTACATCACCAAGTGCAATGCAAAGCGTTGGATGCAGTGGTGTATAACATGCCACTACTGAACTTTAGAGCAATGGAGACATGTTCTCTGGAGTGATGAATCACACTTCTCAATCTGGCAATCTGATCAATGTATCTGTCTTTGGGGGTTGCCAGGAGAAAGGTACTTGCCTGATTGCACTGTGCCAAGTGTAAAGTTTGGTGTAGGGGGGATTATGGTGTGAGGGTTTTTTTCAAGGGTTGGGCTTGGCCCCTTAGTTCCAGTGAAGGGAACACTTAAGGCAACAGCATACCAAGGCATTTTGGACAATTTCATGCTCCCAACTTTGTGGGAACAGTTTGAGGATGGCCCCTTACTGTTCCAACATGACTGCACACCAGTGTACAAAGTAAGGTCCATAAAGACATGGATGAGTGAGTTTGGGGTGAAGGAACTTAACTGGCCTGCCCAGAGGCATGCACAGAGTCCTGACCTCATCCCGATAGAACACCTTTGGGATGAATTAGAGCCTAGACTGTGAACCAGGCCTTTTCGTCCGACATCAGTGCCTGACCTCACAATAGCACTTCTGGAAGGATGGTCAAACATTCCCATAGACACACTCCTAAACCTTGTGGATAGCCTTACCACAAGAGTTGAAGCTGTTATAGCTGCAAAAGGT